AAATGCCATTCCAAGTTGTAGCTTCGCTACGGATGCAATCACCAAGGAGCACAAACGAAGCTGGTGAATTGTCACGAACATGGTGTGTAGGATTCAAAATAAGAATCTTCGACGTACACGCCTTCTTCTTCATATTTGGTCGAACAAAATCTGTCACATCCCAAGATACTTCAGAAGACCATGACTTGATATGCATCGAGTTATCTTTTGCAGAAGAACAAACACCTTAGGGCCAGTCAATGGCGCACAAAGTTTCAACGTCATTCCCCTATCTTGCGAGTCGCCTTCTTTCACTAGAATAGTGATGGTATTGCTCTTAAAGTACTTAAAAAAATACCATGTCTGCAATGAAAAAAGAGAAAAAGAAAAACAACATAAGCATAAGAGTAGGGTGGCAAGAAAAAAAATTGCTTCACTAAAGCAAAAGACATGCGAGACAAACCTTGTGAGCCTTGAAGGATGACAATGACAAAGTCACAAAAATGAAAAGAAATCAGCCACAAAGCTTGAGCAGCACAACAAAAAGGGCAACTACAAGACGATCCTTCAAAGCACGCTACAGTAGCAAAGAAAACCAAAATGCTATGCAATCACATTACGCAACCCCACAGTGATTACACAAGCCATTTCTTGCACTGTACGACAATATCACCACCGAGGGAGATTGCGACCAAAAGGCACTACACATCGTGACCTCGCTGCAGTCTTTTGCACAGCACCACATGGTAAAAAGTGACGCACTGCAACAAACTTCAAATAGCTACAAACTCAAGGCAGCAAGCAGCACACACGGCAGCAGCAATAACAGTTCACACCGCAAGGAATTGTGAAAAAAATACACACCTAATTGTCTTATAAATAAGGGTCAATTGCCTCATAATGCTATAGGGAGAGTACATACCAAATAGCAAAAAGAAAATCAATACAAGGAAGCACATTCCAGCTACAACAAGGAAGCAAATTCCAAGCAAAAAAAAGGGTAAGGTGATACATGGCAATAGGGAAAAAAATGTTGTTTTTTGCAACAAAATCAGCAAAGAAAAGAAAAGGAAACAAAAAAAATAATAAGAAAAGGGCTTCATAATTTCCAAAACATCAAAGGAAAGCACATTTTCTTGCCAAAATACAAAAGGCAATCTCTCTAAAGCAAGGACAAGCCTTCAAGTTTCCCAAACCAAAAGGGAAACGCTCCCTTGGCCGAAAAAATGGAAAGAGAAAGGGAAAAAAAAAAATGCAAATCCTACTTACCCAAGGACAAGCATTAAATCTTTCCAAAATCTTGAAGGAAATCACTAAAGCTTTCCAAGACTTTGAAGGAAATCACCCTCATTACCAAAATTGAAGGAGATTCCTACCTAAGGAAGGAAAAAACATTTTTCCCACACCCACAAGGAAAAAATCCAAGCCTCAAAATACACCAAATGTATTTTGTCAAAATTATTGAAAATCAATACGCACAATAAGTATGTGCCGATTTATCCATTTTCAAAATTTTCATTCAAGATCAAGCCTCTACGACCATTGAAGAAAATTTCCATTTCATTCAAGATTAAGCCTCTACGACCCTTGAAGAAAATTTTCATTTCATTCAAGACCAAGCCTCAAAGGCCCTTGATGAAATATTTCGTTCAAGAAATATGCTGTAACGACCCGAAAATTTATATTTGGAAGCAAATACTAAGATAGGCCCAAAATTTATTTCAGAAGATAATCACCAAATTCCTTTTCTTAGACAATTTCCAAGAAAAAAATAAATCTCAGTTATTTTATTATGGCTGCTTCTAACCTTCTTGTTAGACTGCCTACGTACCCTACGAAAGGATCAAGCAATTCGTAGTTCATAAATTCAATTTCTAACTCATTTCCGAAAATCATTTAAGTGACTAACAATCACTAACCAGGTTCAAACAAGTGAATCACACCAAATGCATATCAAATATGGTTTCATAATATCAAAATTTGCTTTAAAAGACGGCATCGGCTCATTGGCCATGCGTCGCCGTGCGTGCGGTCTGCCGCCCCGACTCGTTGGAAAATTTCAACTATTTCTAAATATTCTCAAAAATTACAAAAATGAAGATCTCAAAGAGTAGAGCAAACCTTATACCTGCGGCCAAGTCCAATTTGGCCAGGAAAAGCTCCAATTCTGCTCACTCCCGTCAGAAAACCCTAGAATGGGTGTCTGTCAATTTGCCACCTCTGGTACTCCGCCGCCCCTACAACTAATTGGGCTTTGTTCTAGCCCTCATGGGGAGTCTAATGGTGGTCGTAATTGGTGGGAATAGCTTCAGGATTTTAGGATTTCTCGCACAACTCATCGCACTCATCGACGGTTCTCCACCCGTTTACAACAAATTTTCTTCTAAATCAAGGGTGAAAAAGGTGGAGGAAAATGCTAGATGATGTTTGGGAGTGGTGGCTTGGTCCAATTCATGGGAAATTTGATGAAAAACCATCGGAAATCATGGAGGAACGGGTCGAAGGTGCAGGTCGAAGGGAGACCCGGTTCTCCCTCATTCTTCCCCCTTCTCTCCTTTCCCTCCTTCCTTCTTTTTAATTGGGTAGTGCCTATCCTCCTTCCCCCAAAACCCTCCACGTGGCACCTCAAAATTATATGGAGAAATCCAGATTATGATCAAATGACCATTTCATCCCTAACTTTGCTTGTTTATAACTTCTCCGTTGTAACTCCGTTTCACGAACGATTTGTGCCTATAAGTTCATGAGATCGAGCTCTATCCAAATGTGTCAAGAAACATGACAAAATATAAGAGGATCAAATACGCCTTTGTAAATTTACGTTTAACCCTCCCTTAGGGCATCTCGTCATTTCCATTTACCCAAAAAAATTCCACATAATCCTATATTTAAAATTTTTCAGGGTATTACATATGCCTCAGTGGCCCTTGACAAAATTCATCATCTCAATTCAAGAAATACACCTCTACGGCCCTTGAAGAAGCAAACTAATTCAAGATCAAGTCTCGATGACCCTTGAGTTAGAATATTCACATTGCAGGACTTCAAAACATGTGACAATCACATGCCTACAATGCGCCTTGAAGTGGGGGCATTTGTAGACATGTAAATTTCATTGCATGCAAATGATGCATCACAAAGTTCCATGTGGCATATGACTCATCACAAATGGACGAGTCATCAATGACATGTAGCACAAATCAAACAAAGGAAGCTCAAAAGCATTCCAAAATTCGGCCAAAAGGGGGAAATACCCCTTAAAATCGGCAAGGGGTCCAAATTGTTCCCAAAACCGGAAAGAAAGCTAAAGCATCTTCACAAAACAAGCAAGAATTGAAGATTGCTTGCAAAATAGGTAAGAAAGCCCTATAGATTTCTGCTAAGCAAGGGAAAGTGGCTGAAATTAAGACACAAAACATGCCTAAATTCTGACATGGACGAATCAAGACACAAATCAAAGCCAAATCCATCCAAATGCAAGCTTTGAGAAGTCTATAAATACAAGGTCCTCATACAAGCATAAGGGTCTACAATTTCTACATCCAAGGGCCAAAATTCTCACCAAAAGAGAACCTCTACCAAATCTTTGAAGACTAATACGTTACCAAAGCTCTCTTCAAAGAACCCACAACCAAATCCGAAGTTTTTTTTCGACTAAACCCGAAGCATTCTCTTGAAGAATCTACAAGCACTTGTGCCGATTCATTCAAGACTTTGTTACAAGCTCAAAACTTGTAACGACGTTCGATTCAAGATCAAGTCGTCAAGACCATTGAATCAACAAAATCCTACATCAACATCACCATTGCCGCATGTCATACACAAACGTAGAGGTGAAGACTATCCACGCATTGTTTCAAGTTCAAAACTTGAAGCAACCGTTTAATCGTTCGTCCGAGATCAAGTCATCGCGACCCTTGGATTAACAACCTACACATCTACATCAAATTTGAAGATTGAATCGGAGGAAAATTGTGAACAGAGATTGTAACCCTACAATTCATCAATACAAATCTACTTTGTACACATGTTCTCGTTTCATTCGTTACAGGAATTTTCGTGTTTATAGTATTATTAGACACTAGTAAATTTATTAGCTAGTAGATGCTAACAATACACAAGTAGACGTTTGTGTACACACAGATGCATGTACTCGCACTAGTAGATGCTAGTAATCTGTTGCAGTTTCTCAGGTATGATTTCTAATGTGTGATTGGCATGCATTTCTCAACTATATATTGTAGTAGATACTAGTATGTAGCTATAAACTATACGAGTTTTCTAAAACCGGAATTAGTGCTTTCAAATGAATTTAATTAGATAAATGATTATGATCCACTCGCATTTTGTTTTTAGCCCCTCAGAACCTAGTGAGGCAAAGGTGGTAGTAACAACGATGAGTGGGCTTGGCAGTAGCGCATTCCTCCTATGAGGTAGGGTGATTCTACTTCTGTCTTTTATTTATCTAGTTGTAATAAATCATAGCCAAACTTTCGGTTATGCTTGCACAACACATATTGTTTGCGTTGTTGCATGTACTACGATGCTCTGAACATGATGTGATTTGTAATAATAAGGTTAAATTCTACCGTGTACCCAAATGGGAAGGTTGTTGTAGTCGACTTTTCGTGCATGATAATTTAATTGTTTATAATTATTACTTATAGCTCCGTCACCATTTTGATGATGGCCAACGCATCTCCACCTTTAATTTGAGGATTATCGGAGTCGAAGTGTGTTAATCTAGTCCTTTTTGCTTTTACAAACCTCATGCGTCAAATTTTACACAAAAAACGGAGACATTTAATAGTTTTGGTATTTCATGTGAACAGTAACACATGGCAATTGCTTTTGTCAAAGGAAAAATGCAAAAGTTGCTTCCAGTCTCATCTAAAAACGGGACCGTTCATGCAAATTTGTTACTGCAACAGTCTCTACTTTGTTTCACATATCGACGTTTCATTTTTAGGTAGTGGCATTTTTGAGAATCTCCGAAAAGGTGATCCCTTTTTATTCCACCAATCAAACGTCTTATATAAACTAAACCCAACAAAATATCCTCATTTTCAACACTGAGCTCTCTCTCTCTCTCTGCTCGAAAGAAGATCTGTCTTTTTATTCCTGTGATCAGAGATGAATTGTCTCCAGAATCTGACAGGGTCTCTCATCCATTTCCTACGCACATATTCCGTAAACATTCACCAATTTTCTTTACCAATTAATTGATCTTTTTTTTCTTTTCCTTCAAATTTCAGATCCTCTGTTTTTCCTCTCCGGAGCTTCGGAAGCAATCCCACGAGGAGGCCTTCCTTCTTTATCGCAACTCTGGTATGCTCATCTTTCTCCATTACTTATAATCTGCGTATGCATGCGTGGTGTGAAATGTTTTGCAGATTTTATGAACTTCTCTCGCTCAAATGCAGGGAACGATGAGCTGCATCGATCTACCCAGAAGCATGGCTGTGAAGGTAGATTAAGGTTTTTGAAAATTTGTGTGATATTTTCATGCTTGGATCTCTTGTTTTTTACTCTATTGGCTTGGTTTCTTTTTTGGGTAATTTGTTTTTTCTCGTGTTAATGAAAGTTTGAGTATGGGAGATGGAAGTAGACTAATAGTTATGTATGTATTTTGTGTCATTTGTAATTGAGATTACTTCAGCTGTATCATTTTCCGAATTCGGAGTTTGGTGTTTGGTGTTTGGTGTTTGGTGTTTGGTGTTTGGTGTTTGTGAGAAGATAATTTGAATAAGTGTAGTTAACAGCCTGTTGTTACTGGTTTACGCTGCTAAAGTAAGTGGTGAATTGTTATGGTTTAGGAGAAGTAGATAATGGACTCATGGTCGATGCGCTATGAAATTAACCCGCATACGGTTTAAGCGTTTGCACCAAAATTTGTACCTCCAAGTTATGGCAGTAGTACTTGATCGGGTATGAACTATGTGCATTATTAAACATCAACAGGACGAAGTCATAGACACCGTTCATTTGACATAATATCATTTGTCTGTGATGGCCCAATTATGTTAAGTAGTTTCTGTGGATCTGTGTGTGTTTTTGTAGAGTAATTGGGATGAGCAGCATGCATGCCTTAATTCGATTGGTTGTTCAATTTTTGAGACGTGTTGTCTTGTATCTGTCGTCGATCATGCTACTTGGTGTGACTCTGTAGGCAATTTCTGGTTCCACCTCTAGTGCTGAGACGAGTGGTGCTGAAGCGAAAGAGGAAAAGTCTGAGATATATAGTAATAACATGACAGAAGCCATGGGTGCTGGTAAGTTAGGGCCTGTTTGGTACTCTACTTAGATCTAACTTTTTAAACTCGAAAACAATTTTCAAGTTTTAGGCCTTAAAAACTTGTTAGGATTATTTTCAAAAACTGAACTCAAGACTAACTCAAAAATATAGTCTATTCTCTAAAAACATAAAAAGTAAGTTTTTAGAGTTTTTAAACTTAAACTCACTCATTTCTTTTTTCTCACTCCTCCCCTCCCACTCCAAATATATCTCTCTCTTTTCTTCCTTCTCTTTCCTCTTTTTTTTACCTTTTTCGTCTCTCCTCCAATCCGCTATCTTCATTCTCTTGGTTCTTTCTCTCACTCCTCTTCCTTTCTATTTCATCCAATCCTCTCCCTTCTTTCTCTTTCCTTCAATCATATCTTACTTTCTTTCCTCCTCTCCTCTTTCTCCCTCTCTTGCGACCCCCTCTTTTTAGATCTCTTTGTCTAATTTAAGACGTAAGATTTAAAATTTTTAAATCGCAAACCAATCACCTTTTTTAATCTTAAAGAAATTTTTTTTCAAGAAATATTCTTAAGAAATGTTTTGAGAAATGATAAAATTTTCAAATAGGATACCAAATAGGCCCTTAAATGCTTAAAATTTTCATAGGCATGACTCGATATACTGAGAAACCAGATATGAGAATGTAAGATTTTTGAGTGTTGGCAATATGGATTAGAGGGTGTGCAGTGTTTAAAATTTAGATTGATTTCTTCCAATGGTAAATTTTTATTGTTACTTTGTTTTTGTCATTGTAGCTAACAATTTCTCATATAATCTTGATGCAGTCTTGACCTATAGGCATGAGCTAGGTATGAACTACGACTTCATACGTCCAGATCTGATTGTGGGGTCTTGCCTACAGGTGATCCTTTTTTTTTTTTACTGGCCATATGAACAACTTTTATCCATTGTTAAAGCTTCCTAGACTGAGTATTTTTATTTTACTTATAACCAGACACCTAAAGATGTTGACAAACTTCGAAGCATCGGCGTGAAGACCATTTTTTGCTTGCAACAAGATTCAGATTTGGAGTATCCTGAATATGTTGTCTTCAAAGTTTTCTTTTGACATATAGAACTCATTACAGGAAAAAAGTATGTTCACTTGGTTCACTTCATTAGGCATGAGGTAATATGTGTAATGTGTTTGCCATTTGGGGTAACTGTGACAATATAAGTTTAGTTACAAGAAAATTAAACTACAATTTCCTTAATTAGAACTTCCAGATATTTTAGTGTTGACATCGGTGACATTCGAGAGTATGCCAACACATTTGATGACATTGAACACTTGCGTGCTGAAATAAGGTTTGTTATTTGAAAAATTATTGGTGTTTCTCTTATTCTTGTTCTTTTTCTAGAATGAATTTCTGAAGTAGTTAACTTCAGTTTCTATTTCCCAATTCTGTGACAATTATATTGAATGATCTTTTTTTGTTGTTGCTCTGTTTGGAGAACAATATCAATAACCAGTTTATAAACTTTCACTTACAGGTTTTTATTTCCATTGCATATTACTATATCATTTCTCTCTCTCTCTCTCTCTCTCTCTCTCTCTGTGGAGAGTCTGTATGTGCACGCACATTAGGACACATGACACATTCATATATAGTTGCTTCATATATGCAGCCTGCTAATGTCTGATGTTGCAGGGACTTTGATTCATATGATCTACGTCTCCGGCTTCCTGTTGTTGTTAGCAAATTATATAAAGCCATAAATCGAAATGGAGGTGTCACTTATGTGCATTGCACTGCTGGACTTGGAAGAGCTCCTGCAGCTGCGGTATGTTGTTAATGGTGTATTTGAAAGTAATGTTATTCTTCCCAATGTTTTCGCAAAATAGCAAACACCTTATGGAACTAATGGATTTAACCATTCACATAGAAGCTCACCCACCCGCTTATCAATTTATATTACTTACATAAATTAGTGTTATGTGTTTGTACTTTTGGCATCAATGGCATGTATATTTTCATCCATCAACATTTGTGTTTGTGTTTAGTACTTTGCGACTTCTTCCTCTTATTTTTTTTTTTTTTCAGCCAGAATGAATGCTTAGCTCAATACAAATTCAAATTAACCTGTTTGACGTCCAAGGTATACTTTTAGAAAATTGACCAGGGAAAATGAACAAGGGGAAAAGGTTTTAGTAAATTAACTTAAAGTGGGGGAATATTTTTGGTCAAAGCCAAAACGTACGTTTAGTAGATTACATACAAGGGAAAGCACATACTGTTTGTATAAGGACAGAATGTGGGAGTATAAATGCAAAACACTGATATTTGACATTATAAATGCAAAACACTGATATTTGACAAGCTGATTCCTGTATTGTAGTGAACCCATGCGACATGTGTTTTCCGTGTGGGGTCTCATATTTCCCTGGCAGCTAAAAATTTTGTTTTTTCTTTTAGACCATCCACAAAGAGGTCGCACTTGGTGCGATGGCAAGTGCCTTCGCCCATGAGCGGTAGGTCTCGGGTTCGAGACTTGGGAGCAGCCTCTCCATAAATGGGCGTAAGGCTAGCCGACATTCACCTCTCCCAGACCCTGCGTAAAGCGGGAGCCTTGTGCACTGGGTACGACCTTTTTTTTTAGACCATCCACAGACCTTGCAGTTTCTTGAACCATCCTGACAGACTGCTTCCAATCCTGTTAAGAAATTTTTTTAGTTGTGTTTACAGTCTGTCAAAAGGCCTCAAGAAACTGCCAGGTATGGAAAACATGCTTATTAGTAAACTAACCTACCCGGGGGTTGGGGGGGGGGGGAGCTGATTTGTTTACTGTAGCGACCCCTGAGACGGCTAATTTGTTGTCTTTGTAGTTGCTCATGTTGCTTTGCAGCTGAATATTGAGCTTTTGTAGCATCCTTAGAGCTGACAGTTTCTTCAGGCCTCTTGACAGATCGCTACCAACCTGTCAAGAACAACTTTTAGTCCTGTACAAATTTAAATAATAAAAATTGTTGATTGATTATTTACTTTTCTTTCTGCTGCCAATCCAGCCTTTGTGCTCGTCTAATGCCTTTTCAGTTTACTTAAATTACTATAAAGTGAATACGAAATAAGCTAACTTTCTTGCCCAATGGACAATGATTGGTTTTATTTCAGAAGGCTTGGTGAAATGCTAATGTACCCAGTCAAGAATGTAGTAAAATTTGTTGGAAAATCATATAAGTCGTATGAAGTGTGCAGTGATAGACAGGCATACACAAGTAAATGCATATCCAAATAGTCTTCAATGTAAGAAAAAACAGTGAGAACTGTTGAGAAGGCTCCCGTTAGTCGTAACATCAAGTTGTTTTTAACTTCCAGGCAGTGACTTTCATTTCATATACTTGTTGGATTGTCTATTACACAGATCAGCATGGTGTGTCGGTTATCTCGTTTTAACACTGTTCCTGAATGTTGTTATGATGGCAGTTGGCTTACATGTTCTGGGTACAGGGATACAAACTTACAGATGCTGTCAATTTACTGCTGGTAACTATTTCTTTGACATATTCCGATGGTTAATTTATCAATATTCAATACAGCATATCTTGTTGGTAAAGAGTTCCTGTACATTTTATTTATTGAAAATGAAAGTTCCAAGTTATTTCTCAAAAGTAGAAAAAAAAATGCCAGGAGAACCTTGAATGTGAAGCTTATTTTGTATGACAGGTGATCGTTCTAACATAAAACCAGTCATTGATATTGGACAAGTTTTGGATGCACGAAACTATGTCAGGAGAACCTTGAATATGAATCTTTAAAACCACTCATGAATTTTATGCAGTTGTAAGACATTGCTATTTTCTGAAGAAAAAAGTTTCAGAAAGTTCGAATCAGTGATATGATAGCTAATTTGAGCAAATGGGAAAGTGGGCAACTGTACTGCCTAATTAATGTGGAACTTCATAACGTCTCAGAACTATCTTTTTTCTGGATTTAATGCAGAGCAAACGTGCGTGCTTCCCAAAACTGGATGCTATAAAAAATGCTACTGCAGATATTGTGAGTCTATATTGTTTCTTTAATGTCATTTCATATAAATAATTGCGCAAGTCGTTTTCCAGTTTTTCAAGTTTATCAATTTTCAACTTGAAAATATGATGATATAGTAAGAAGTTTCAGGGTGCATGTTGTTACTTCATTCAAGTGCATGGTGACTCTCTTTAATAGAAGGTTTAGACCAATATTCACCCGCAACACAGTAATACATCCATTCTTTTACAAGCCATTAATTTACATTCCTTAACAAAAATATCTTCCCAAAATTGCCAGGTGAAATGCTTGCTGGTGATTGTTTTAAACTTTTAATTTATTGATGTTTGAATTCATTAGTAATCTAAATTATTGTAGGGTGGTTATTTTCCCTTCTTTTGTTTTACTGAAACTTGCACCAACCACCTGAACTTCCAGGGTGTGCATATGCTTGCCACCCAAAGAATTTAACAATTAGCACCTAGGCTTAGATTTGGTGCCTAATTTACCACCTCCATAATTTACCACCTCCATCTATTTCTAAAACAAAGTTCATTTGATCTGATATCTGTCTTATTTTATTAAATATGAAGTTATTAAAAAGGGAGTTTTAACGAAAAGTTCACGGTACTGTTAACGAAAAATCACATTTTTACACTAAAAAGTCAATCTTGGTACTATTCACTTTACCCTTTATTTTGTCCTTATCGTTAAAACTCAAAGTTTTCAAGCCTTTTTCATTAATTTTCCTCAAAAAACCACATTTTTACACTAAAAAGTCAATCTTGGTACTATTCACTTTACCCTTTATTTTGTCCTTATCGTTAAAACTCAAAGTTTTCAAGCCTTTTTCATTAGTTTTCCTTGTTAAAAACTCATATGTCACATATCTTCTCATCATAAAGCTTACAAGCATGACAAAAAGGGTTGTCACATTGACTTGGGGAGGTGATAATTGCTCTACAGTGGAAATCTCAGGACTTGACATTGGATGGGGTCAGGTAATAACCTTTTTCAACCCTAGCAGTAGACTTTTAATGTTTGATATAGCTTTAAACTGTGATTTTAATGTATAGTGCATGCTATCTCTAAATGCGTAGTATGGTATGGATGGTTTTGATCAATGAGGACTGACTCTTGGGTATTACTTCCCAATGCTCATTTTTCATATAAATGTGATAGAGATGATGGGGAAGATTAGTCTTGTAAGAAAAGCGTATGTATATAATCATGTACAAGAGATGCTCGCACCTTAAGAAAACATGTGGTTCTCTTCATGACCAAGCAGCGATTAGAGTTGCCGCATACATATTGTTCAAAGGAGATTTTGCATATCCTAGTAAAGAAATTGAATGATAGCTGTCTGGCCTATTTGTAGAGACAAGGCCCTAGTAGTGGCTTATTAGATAGGATATACAGATGTCACTTGTAAACTCATTGCTGGTCACTAAAACATAAAATATGTCATTGTGGTGCAACCTATGATAAGCAGTGAATTAGATTGATTGTTTCTGTGCCATGGAGTTGTTCAAATTTCATCAGAACAGAACCGCTGTTGACTTGAATAATGCTGTGAAAAAGTAGTTGCTTCTTCTTTGGGTAATGGCCAAGAAGTTTTCCATTTGCATTTCTATGTTTATGGTGGACAAATGAAACATAGTGTTTTTGAATGCTTAAGATATTGTAATTTCAAACTGTTGGAAATTCGGTGATACATGTTTTCTTTTCAATCTATGATTTACCCTTGTGATGCTTGTCCAGAGGATTCCTTTAGAGTTTAATAAGGAACAGGGTTCGTGGATTCTCAAGAGGGAATTGCCGGTGAGCATTTTTTTGAATCAAAAGTTTGCTTATGTTTGGTCTTTCAGGTTCAACATGGGTTTTTCATAACACATTGAATGTTGCATTCATCGCCCACCTTATTAAAATAAACTCATGCTTTACAGGAAGGACGATATGAATATAAATACGTCATTGATGGTGGATGGACGCACAATAAGCATGAGCCTTTCACCTCTCCCAACAAGGATGGCCATGTCAACAATTATGTTCATGTAAGGTTCAGCTTTGAGTCTGGACTTCGTAAGTATTGAAGAACATAAAAGGAAGATATCCTATCCTGGTGGATTGGGTGTTGGTTTTCTACTCATGCATCCTGGGTTCGAAACTTCCCCCTCCCCTAAACTATTGTAATAGTTTCGAACCCTCCCCCTTACCCATAATAATAATAAAATAAAATAAATAAAAATAAAAGGAAGATATAAATATATATTCTTTTATAAGAAAATCTTGAGGTTCTTTTGCCTATCGTGGGCAAGAATAAAACGGTAAAATCTTGAGATAAATGCCCGTCAGGGCTTTGTTTTTGGAAATTTTTGTTTGCGCATAAGTTTTAGTCTTAGGGAGGCATTGTGACCACTGGCCATAAAAAAACTTTCCAGATATCTTTCTCTCTTTGTGAAATAATGCCAGAAATGTTTCAGGGAAATTGGAAAGGAAGTTATAAATTTGCTGCATACTCTGGGAATAGGAACCTTTGAGCTTATGGTTAACGGATTCTAATTGTCCAGATAGCACCATGTTTCTTCTCATTGGCTGAGCTTCTCTTGCAGGTTGTTGAGGACGACCCTAACAGTGAAAGTGCGGCCATACGGAAGAGGATGACCGGTGATGATCCTCATCTTACAACCGAGGAACGACTGAAAATAAGACGGTTCCTCGAATCTTGTCCCAGTGATGAGTGAATTACAAAAGAGCAATACAAGGGTTCTAGCATGTAAAGTAGTAACTGTACGAGTTCCCTAACATCACATCTTAACATATATGAAATAAATGTGGTATAGTATAGTTAATGATCAATAAAATAAATTCGTATTTCAGCAACAATTTAATAATAGAAAGGAGAAGAATTTTAAGTGACTGACCTGATTTATGAGTGGAGATTGGAAACAGCTGATAAATGTTGTAGAGATCTTTGCAGGAGGATGAACATAGGAAAGCTGTGTTTGCTTGTGGCAGAGGTAAGTCCTGCTCAACTTGAATTTTCCACTGCCTTCGCTTCAAGATTATTGGTTCAAGTAGATTCGATTTGATGCGAGTTTGTCGAGAGATTTATGATATTGAATACTTGCTACTTGCACAAAATTCTACTTATATTTGTTTGATCCGTAAACCCGAAACCTAACTACTGGAGGGTTCAAGACTTGTAGAGATGATGGTAGGATGCGTTCTGCAGAGATTAATAGAGATTGGGGAATTCTGGGGGTTACTGTAAGTGACCGATTATTAGTGGTGAGCTTGTTTTATGATTTCTTTTCTGTTGTTTTTTTTAATTATAATTTATAATGTAGCTTAAGTATGAAGTATTTGGGCTCATGAGTCAAACTTTCAGTCCGGTGTTAGACGGAGTGATCTAACATTTGGACGCATTTGAGAAACTGAATACGTTTATTATTAATGTCAGGCTAAAGTATGAAGGGTTGAAATTCTATTTTCTGCCAAACTATTGACGAGATTAATTGTTTTGAATGCAAAAAATCATCTTGAAGGGTTTTAACTTTAAATTTTGAGTCCCATCTCGGTTAATATTGCTTTCAAGGGTCATTCCATACCTAAACATTGTCGTATTGTTTAGTCTTCCTGACCAAAATGATTCCTGAGATTAACATAAATCTCTTATTTTGATTCTAAAAGTGAAAATCAATAGAAGTGGACTCAAGTTTGTCCATCGTAAATCATTTTGGTTTTTCTATGAAAAGTTGTCGATGTTCTCATTAAACTCACGTGAACGATCATGTGAAAGTGAGAAGTTATGACAATCTCAAAGATTATTTTAGCAAAAAAAAAGCTACTTACGTATAATTTAGTGGTATGCGTTTTATTGTATTTCAAAAATGATGATGGCATTTTACCGTAGTGACGGAAAGTAATTATGCATATGTACTCTGGTACAGAATCAATCCCAACCGATTCTCCTCTCTTAACAACTAACAGGTTAATCTACTAACGCCATTGTTGTTTGTAAAGAAGAATTTTATTCGTTTAATGGTGACTTGATAACAAAATGACAGGAGGTAATGTTGTATAAATTGAGAGAGAGAGAGAGAGAGAGAGAGAGAGAGTGATTCTCATACCTTGTGATTTTATTTATACTACAAAGTCCATAGAGGCTTGAATAGTAGATAATTTCTCATACCTTGTGATTTTATTTATATTACGAAGTCCATCTCCAACTCTTAGGAATTTAAAATTTAACCCAAAAAATTTAGGTTAACCATGAAAGTTTTTATACTTTAAGCCTTCCAGTAAGGGTGGACATAAAAATTGTGGAACCGCGAAATTGAATCGAACCGCAATAGAATAAACTGTAAAAAAACCGTGTTGACCAAAAAAAGTCAATGTAGGTTCAAGAATCTAACTGAACCGTTATGAACGGTTCTGGTTTTTATGTTGGTAGAACTACTTAGAACCGAACCGAATCGTGAATATAAATAATTAATTAAATTTAATAGTTGTATACAAGTGTCACTAAATGAGTGGTGAAAACCAAACTGGTTTCACTTAGTGCAACTGCATGGGAGCATTTCTCAATTAGTTTTTCATTTGCATGGTTCACCTATTGAGATAAGGCACATATTTGAAAAGATAAGGTCATTTTCTCTCCTAGATCTCCAAATTTGACATTCAGGTTTCAATTTCATTTTTTTACATAGAATGGTCTTAAGGTGTTCAGTTACGTCCTACTTTTTTTCTTTCCCATTTTCCTAGGCCTTTTTAATCTCTTGATAGTACCTTTTGGGCTTGAATTATTGAATTCGTACCAACATTCTTGCTACATATTAGATGTATATGTATGTGTGGATGTATATTTGTATTGTGAATGTATATATACATTTAAATTGTGTTTCTTTTTGTTTGCTTGGTGTCAAGGACATTTGCATTTTGATTTAGTATTTGAAAAGGATATGTTTTGTTTTTAACTTTGTATAACCATTTTAGAACTCGTATTTGAATGCAAGTATGCAAAAAACAAGAAAAACTTAAGTAAACTTTGAATCACATTTTGATTTGGCATACGAATGATTTAGTATTCAGAACTGTAAACCGGCATGAACTAAACAGGAATCGGTATAAATGAAATCGTGGTATGAACTAAACGGGGACCGATTTGAACCGAACGATACGGTTTTAGTAAAAAATTTAAGCAGAACCGTTGATATTTCTCGGTACCTGTGCCCTTTTGAGGTTGGAACTGCACCGAACCGCACCATGCCCATCCTTACCTTCTGGGTTGAATTTTTAGCTCGAAATGATTAAAGAATAAATTCAGGATATTTTTTTTTCTTAAAGTAACTTAAAAAAAAATGTAGACTATCCTAGTTTAATTTTATGAACATTTCAATCAAAAATATTTAGATTCTAATAAATATTGAAAAAATCATTGAACTGATACCATAAAACTCTTGGAATACTATGAAACAGAAAAAACATGAAACACATGAAAGTTTTTTTTTTTTAATTATTTTAGTCATTAGATTTAAATTTGGACTTTTATATCTTTTTTTTATCGTTGGATTTGATCATATTAGATCTTAGCTGGTGGATTCAATGTATTTATAAATATAAAACTAAAAAAATATAGATATACAGCCCACTAACCTAGGGGAAATTTTGGCCTAAATTTGCCCCAAAAATGAGTTTTAGGTTAAAACTAGGGTTGGATTCGATTGGCAACCGTGCCAAATTCCTTGTGCCACTTGCCAGCCACATATACATAAAAAATGTCGTACCCAGTGCGCAAGGCTCCCGCTTTACGCAAGGTCTGGGAGAGGTGAATGTCGGCTAGCCTTACCCCCATTTTATGGAGAAACTGCTCCCAAGTCTCGAACCCGAGACCTACCGCTCATGGGCGAAGGCACTTGCCAGCCACATATACATAATTACCAAAAATTAGTTACCGCTAGCCAACCGCCTTCTTGCGGTTGCCAAAAATCGGTTTAGCTAAAATTATTGGCTAGTTCGGTTGGTAAATGGCACAACCGGTGGTTTCCACTTCTTCCTCGCTATCTTTCAGTTCCAAGGGCTCAATTTGATTTTTAGATTGGGGTGTTTGTTCGATTGCATAGTGTGGTTCATTTTGGGTTAATCCATGTTGTGCACTAGCGGTTGTTTAGCTGGACTCCATCATCCTAAATATAAGCAACGCATATACATTCAAAATCATATATATGTATGTGTATATATAGTATCAGTAATCATCATGCTATCAATTTTGTTAACAATATTTTCTATATTTATTATGGCATGAATCATATACATATACATATGTATTTTAAACCCTAAAACTAAGGGGTCATTTATTTTCTAAACCCTAAAACTGAGGAGTCAAGCATGTAAAAAATACCTAAAATATCTAAATAGAAAGAATATATATATATATATATATATATATATATATATATATATATTGGTAGGTATGGCATACCGACAGCATACAAAATCAATTACCAAAGTCATGCCATTAATTGTCAGATCGGCAAAATGCCAACCGATTATGAAAAAATGTCAAAACTATACCATACCATTATGAGCCGACCGGTATAGTTTAGTCAGTAAATCGGTTTATGGCAAAATTTCCCACCCCTAGTTAAAATTCATATTTGGCCCATGGTTAAAGCAAGTTGGGGTAGATTTAGATTCTTTAGAACCTAAAATTTGAAATTTACTCCTATGGCTGGAGTAGGTCTAAGAGGAGAGAAAAACTTACTCTCCAAATAATAGTAAGGGCATGTGTACTTATTAGAATAAGAACGAATATTTTTCTTTTGAAGAATCGATATTATCTACATTAGGCGAAAAGAGTGGGCTTAGCCTCATAATGAGCTAGCAAATGTGGTTCAAATTCGGCCTAAGACCTCAAGAAGAATGTCACTAGACTGTAATACTAAGTGGTGGGAAAAAGAATGAATATGATTCCTAACATTTACTAACACCTAAAGACATTAGGTATGTGGATCCCATCAATTTAGGTACGCCATAATACCCTATCTTGCACATTCTCATTCTTTTTAATCTCTTATTCCTTTATATCCGCGTAGCATGTAAGTAAATATAAGTGGATTACTTTTCCACATGGGGCCATATTTAGTTTTGGTTGGGTACAATTAAATTAATCAGTATAATTATAGCATAAGTACAATTAATCAGAAAAATAAAGAAAATCATATTATTCATCAAAATATATGTGATCGATTAAGTGACTCCCAACAATTGTGTCTCAATACCTTGTAACTCAAGTTCCGATAAAAGCCTACAGACTACATATATTATATACGATCACATCTCCGTGTATTGAGCCTTGCTTCCTGAAAACCTATCTGAATTTGGGAGGTGGGTGAAAGGGAAGGTTATGGGAGTTGATGTTAAGATGTTAAGAAGTTAAACTTTCCTCGCCAAATGTTTCTTCCAAATTTCAAGTCCAAGAAGGTGTTAAGGTAATTAAGTTCATGTTTGTAGATAAAGGTACAATAAAATGGAGTGCTTGAAGGTTTATAAGCATGATTATGATATCCATATCAGTTTTTGTTATGAATTTTATTAGGCAATATTGATATTTATTTGCTGTAAAGTTATAGTGCAGTAGTATTTCAGTTATAACAGCGTTTTGGTTATATTGTCATACGAGACGGTTATAAAGCTTCATAGCAAGCAAGTAGTAAACGGACCCAGCTTCTCTGCCCTCCAAGTTCCCATACACTCTCATCCTCTCCTATTTGTGCGGTCACGATTAAGCCACGTCAACATTTTATATCACTATTGCCTTTTGTCTTAATATCTCTATAAAAAAAAAATCAATATAAAATGTTGACGCGCCTTAACCGTAACCACACAAAATAGAAGGGGATGAGAGTGTATGGGAACAGGGAGGGTAGAGAAGCCGGGTTAGTAGTAAACACAATTGTTTGCTCAAGGAGGATCAAAATGATTGCGCTATAAAGATTCAAACAGGGAGGGTAGAGAAGCCGGGTTAGTAGTAAACACAATTGTTTGCTCAAGGAGGATCAAAATGATTGCGCTATAAAGATTCACATTAAAAGAAAGGAAAAGTAATGAAAATGGCTTGAAAACTTTGAGTTTTAACGATAAGGACAAAATAAAGGGTAAAGTGAATAGTACCAGGATTGACTTTTTAGTGTAAAATGTGGTTTTTTGTTAAAATAAAGAGTACCAGAAATTTTTCATTAAAGTTCCAAAAGATTACCAAGTCCGGTACAGTTTATGCGGATAAGATTCTTGTGCTGAGTGATTGTAGAGGTTAAGAACACATTTGTTTGTTCTTAAACTCGACAATTCCAAGCAGGTGGCCTTATCTGACATAATTGAGGGAGCCATATAGCACTAATAAACTCAACGAGGCCGTTAAAGTAAACCTGTTTTGATCATACAACTATTTAGAAGGGTGTATTCAATTGGAATTTTGATATATTTTAATTCATTATACAAATTCAGAGTTATTCAATCAAGATTTTAAGTGATTCTTTAAAAGTCTAAATGTGGTCAATTGAGATTTTAAAGAAATTTATAACATTCCAAGTAAATTTATTTAGGAATTGATTTTAAAAAGTTGGGGAATTTGAAGAAATTGGAGAGATTTCGTAAAGTAAGCATTCTCAAATCTCACCACTCCAGATGAGAAATCGAGGGAATTGACTCAAAATTTTACATTAGACACAGTTTTATCACACAAACTGACTAAAAAAGGTAAAAGTTACTTGTCCAATTTTGAACATAACTTCATATATATCTTACAGAGTAAGACTGGATAAATGAAACATTCCATACAAAAACTTTGTAATATCTCTACAGAAGCTGAATAAGAAGGCAGGATACTGCCGGTCACTATGGTGATCATGTACACGCTCTTACACAAGTTTCATTTGTTCCAAAATATTCCCATCTTCCTGCGTAAGTCGCTCAGACCACACTGAATGCTGATTGTATTGTGGACGAGAACCGCGATGCAATGGTCTGGGACGCAAACTGTTGGATCTGCTTTTTCGCATCTGGAACCAACATCAAAGTGTTTTTAATCAAGAATACACAAACAAATATCCCATCGCATGCTACAGGGAGACGGAAAGGCTTTGATACAAACAGATTGAATAAATAAATAAACAAGCCACCTCATTGTCCCGCAGATATGGAACTATTTCAATATATTACCAAAGGCCAAATTTAAAGTGAGCAACCTATGAAGCTAGGGGCCGCCCAACGTATGCTCAGTTGGGAAATCCACCCCATTGAAATATGTGTGTATAGAAGGGGGAGGATGTTTGCAATGTTATCTAACAGTTGTACGTGATGAGTAATCATCTACTTAAATATCTTTCATACAATATATACCTCTCCCCCTCTCCTTTTTTTTTTTTTTTTTTTTTTTTTTTAAATTTTTTTTATAAATATTTAAAGTGTTTTTCGTGTAATCTGTCCAAAATACTTTTAAAATAATATCAGAAGGCCTGGAAATGCTAAGGTTTAAGCAGACATCCATCCTATGACACTCAACACAGAAAAATATGCCATATATCAATATATCTAACGAAAAAATAAAATCACTGCTTCCGTACCTTTGCGGCATTTGGTAAAGCCAACAATGTTTGCAATGCTCAGGGTCAAACAAACTCCTACAACGAGGAGATAATCTGCCTGAAACTTTATTAGAGAAAATATTCCAAGCACAATCCATGCGACAGCCTGCCCAAAAATGAAAACAGCAACTTGAGATGTCAAAATGAAACTGTTCACAACTATGTGCACATTCTACATTCACGCACACATGCATCCAGATCTTCCAGGTTACAAGTGCATGAAACCATACAGGACCTTGCTATATATTTTTAAAATACTTTTTCAGTTTCAATATTATGCATATCATCTTCAACTCCAAGTGGATCTGTCCAGCTTCTTATAGAACACATAAGTAACACAATGCTTTTAATATCTACTTCTATAACCTAATGCATATAACTGATCACTATAGACCACCTAATGCATCTGCTACATGTTTATGGAAAAATCGTACAAACGAAAAATTGGTGCCGCACCACTTGAAGCCTATTTGCTTACCGTGATGTAAAGTGTCCACCAGAAGAGCCATGAATCCTTTTTGTTCATCCGGGCCAATGACTAAAGGTATACAAGTAAGGATCAGCATGGATGATAGTCAGGTAGTGACAGAGTCAATGGTAAACACTCTTATGCCACTGAGCTTAGTAGTAAAGGGACGAGAAACCGATAATACAAAATTTTGTGATGGTAATACAAACCTCTTGGTCAAGGCATTCAAATTTCCACACGCTCTCCCCAAGATCATTTATTTCATTCCACCACCTCAAACCAACTAAGATGCGTCCACTGACATTCTTAACTACCCAGAAATCAAGAGCGGCAAGAAGAACAGTCACGACAAAAATGATGACAAAGTTATCAAAAAAGAGGGCAGAAAGTATGTAAAAAGCCAATGCTCCAGCCTGTGAAAGAAGGAACATAATGTTACTTAGAGAAGGAGGCACCACATTTGTAAGTGACAATCATTCGTTTATAAGAAACACTAAACAAGAAAACCATAGACACTAGACCTTGAACAGAACATGGAAGAAACATGTCTTTGGGTTGGCATAGTTTTCCCCTTGTGGCTGCATATGAAAGTACAGTAGAATTAGCTAAATGGAAACAAAAATGAAAAATGGGTGCTCATGTTCAAAACAACTCCGGGCTTGCTAAACAACTACAACATAACGAGTTCCCAAGTTCATCGGAAATGGCCAAAATAAGGGGGAAGTTTTCAGGTTGTGTGTCAACGTGCATATTATTATTTTTTCTGCTAAGGGAAAATAATGTAACACCCTTGATAAGAAACGCAATCCTCTTGTGACATATTATACTCCTCCGAAAATTGAACTCTTTCTTCGGGTGTCATAACAACATAAACCCTCTTCTTATTTTTTTGTTTCTCTATAACAAACCCTTTCCCATTCAAAAATTGCATTTAGCTGCCGATCTTATATCGGCAGATTAGAATTAAGTACCTGGACAATGCTAGGCCTCCTCTAAGCAGTAAGCACCATACGGATCTTTACGAAAAATAATCCATAACAATATAAATTGTACCGATTCGAGGCCTCACTAAAGAAGGATACTTAATCTCCTCTTCGTTTGCACAATTTTCTACTTAAAAAATTGAACAAAAACATCCACCTAAACAAAATCTGAAATCCAAATCTACCATGGAAAATTTCCAAACGAAAATGTTGACGAATATTCTAATCGTTTCCCATTATTTTCTCAGCAACCAAACAAGAATGCAAATCCCATAATCCAGATCCGTTACTAACCCAAAAACCCTAGCAATCCCAACATTAAACGCAGCAATGAATGGCACAGAAATCCGAGTAAATGAAATAGTAAATGAAATTGCAAATAGTAAGCAACGAATTGAAGAACCGAGTCAACTCACCTGGCTGAGATCCATTTTTCCCAGCTTGTGGTTTTATGGGGATATCTCCGCTCCTCTCTCTGAATTCCGAACAAGAAAATTTCTGAGCTCTCTCTCTCTCTCTCTCTCTCTCTCTCTCTCTCTCTTCGTCTTCTACTTTAGATGCAGCTCTTTTTCATTTTTATTATATTTTATTTTATTTTCACAATACTTAGGTGGGCTTGGCATCATCTGAACTAATTCCAGTCCAATATGGCCTTTTTTTTGTTTTTTTAACTCGAAGCTTTTTAAATTCATAAAAAAACCCAGGGCAAAAGCCAACTGAACACAGAAAGCCCACAAAAGGGCAATCACAGCAAAACAGATAAAGGACTATGTGAGGGAGAACAACAAAACAAAGACGCTACCACAAAGGTGAGACGTTATCCCAACACACACCCACACCAAAACACTTACGGAGGGCAAGGAAGTCCATCTTTGTTGAGAATGTGAACCAACGAAGATGGGGGTCGCCGGTCCCAAGTTTTACCGCACATCTCCAAATTAGTCCTCGACGCTAGACGGTCCGCCGACTGATTGTCCAGTCTTGGAACCCAAGACCAGCGACAGCCCTGAAAAGAATTCCCCAACATCAATGTATTTTCTAGGATTGGGAATACTTCCCAGCTGCCATTAGAAATATCACCCTTCAAGGAGGAGACCACCTCAAGCGAATCCGATTCCGCAACAATCCATCGGAAGCCTAGCTCCGCCGCCAACTTACAGCCCTTGAGCAACGCCATTGCTTCAGCGAACACCACCGACAGAGCTCCAATAGACAACTTGTGGGCCGCTACAAACTGCCCATTATGATCCCGCAGCACCGCTGCCAACGTAGCCTTACCATCCATTTGAAACCAGCTTGCATCAACATTAATTTTGATGAAGGAAGCAGTTGGGGGGGACCAACGAGGATCCGGATTGGAGGAAGGCTGGAAGCGGGACAAAGGGACCTGCACCTCCAAAAAAGAACCCAGGGAGAAAGAAATAGTATGCAGCACCTGTGAAGGAGCTATGGTAGAAGCCTTAAAGACATAGTTACATCTAGCTTTCCAAATGTACCAGCAAGAGAAAGCAATGATAGAAAGAAGCCTCGATCAGTCCTGTATATTAGGAGTCAGGTTGATCAAATCACTGAGCCATTGATGAAAATAAGAAACACCTTCACCAACCATCCGAAGACCAAGCTAACCACCAAACCAAATTGGCTCAACCCATGGACATCGCAGCAGCATATAAAGCACAGATTCCTCCTGAGTCTTACAAATAAGACACAAGGGAGATGAAGCAGACCTGCGCTGATATAATCCCCCTATAGTTGCCAAAGCCTCACTCATAGCCCATCCATAAAAAGTGATGAATTTTTGGCAGGGCTTTAATTTTCCAAATAGCCTTCCAAGGCGAAGTCCTCGAAGTACTTGGAACCAAAGATACATGAGCCCTCGTCAACCCCCGCGAGGAATGAATCCAGTGATAACTCGACCGAACCGAATATTGACCCCTTTTACTCGACGTCCATATCAAACGGTCCCGGCGAGAACAATTCCCCAAAGGAGTATTACATATAGCTTTGATATCCTCTTCAGAAATGAACGGACATAAAAACTCAATGTCCCACGATCTAGTACTCGGGCAGATAAGGGAGGATACCTTAGTATTCAGAGTGACATTAGTGGGATAACGGGGCGTAGGATGACCAAGAGGACGAGATGGTAGCCATCTATCAACCCAAAGCCGAGTATCCCTTCCATTCAGAATCTGCCAATGTGCTCCATCTTTTAGAATGTCTCGACCCACAAGAAAGCTAGCCCAAGCCCATGAGGCACGACTTCCTAACTTCGCATCCAAGAAAGAAAAATAAAGGAACTACCGTGCCTTAAGAGTCTGAGCCCACAGGGAAGTAGGATTAAGAAACAAACGCCAGCATTGTTTAACCAGCAACGCATCATTGAAGTCCTGGAAATTCTGAAATCCCAAACCCCTCTCACACTTAGGCCGACCCAGAGTATCCCAATTCACCCAATGTATCCTTCGATGTCCTCCACCGTCACCCTATAAAAATCCCGTAGACAGAGAATCAAGGTCTTTACAAACAACAATCGGGAATTTAAACAGATTCACAGCCTTAAGTAAAACTTCCTTTCACGCAAAAGAAAGAGCAGACTGTTTCCAGCCTTGAATCTTTCCCAACACTCTCCCTTTCACAAAAGCAAGGTTGTTACGCTTAGATTTTCCCCAAATAGCAGGCAGCCCGAGATACATCCCCGGGTCGGACACCGACAGCATACCTAAGATGGAACCAAGCTGTGACCGCACCTAAGCTGGAGCATTCCGTCTAAAGTAAACACTAGATTTGTTTAGACTTATCTGCTGCCCCGAGGCTAAACAATATTTGTTGAGGATATGCATAATATTTTCACAATTCCTCTGATTCGCCTGGAGGCAGATTAAAGTATCATCCCCGAAAAACATGTGCGAGATACAGGGACCAAGAGGATTCATTTTGATACCATTAAGCCGCCCATCATCAACTCCCTTCTGAATCATACGGGAGAGAACATCACTAACCACAAGAAACAAATAAGGAGAGAGATGGTCACCTTGACGGATTCCGCGAGAGGGAGAAAACCAATTCCCAGGCTAGCCATTCAGTAAAATCGCAAACTCCACTGAACACGCACAGTTCATGACCAAATTGGTCCAGTCCTTACAAAATCCGAGCTTCAGCAAAACCGCTTCCAAGAAGTCTCATTCAACTTGGTTATACGCCTTATGCATGTCCAGTTTAATACACAGCTCAAACTTCTGCTTAGCTTTCCGCAGCTTCAAAAAATGGAACAATTCATGAGCAAGCCCTAAGTTCTCCTGAATTTGCCGATCCACGATAAAAGCATTATGCATAGGTGAGATTAACTGAGGCAGCAACAGTTTCAATCGATTCACCAACACCTTGGAAAAGATCTTAAAAGAGAAGTTGCAAAGGCTGGTAGGATGATATTGTGACACCAATTCAGGATTAGGGACTTTAGGAATCAAAACAATGTGTGTAGAATTAATACTTCGAGTGTTACCCACACCCTGCATGAAATCCTTCACCAAACCATTCACCTCTGCCACAATAATGTCCCAGAAGGAGTGGTAAAAAATACCTTGAAAACCATCCGGTCCCGGAGCCTTCAAACCCCCCATTTGATGAACTACAACCTTAATCTCATCATCAACAACAAGCTAGATAAGATCAACATTCATTAAATCCGAAACCATAGGTTCTATGCAGTTGAGAATATCACCCCAATCCCTACTACCCACCGAAGTAAAAAGGGATTGAAAGTGATGGCCTTTAGGCCTTTTTTCTTTGAAGGTGACGGGGTTGTCGATGCCGTCTGATTTTAAGCATACGGCCGAAACATTAAATTAAGGTGTGGTATGAGGGCAGAGTCAGGATTTTAGCCTAGAAGGGATTTAAAAGTCTCAATCTGAAACGTTCTTTTGATCTTGAAAAAATTACTCTGTCGTGTGGTGAGCAATCGATTACCGACGTTTGGGTCTGATATGGTGTCATCCTCATTATCTTCTTCTTTAAACCTATACCCTAAGCCCCTCTTACTTTCTTCGTCACTCCCTCCATTGATCCCTGGACCAGAGGAACCACCAAACTCAATTAACCCAATGGAAGAAATCAAAGTAAAAACGTCGGTTTGGGGCCTTGAGTCTACAGATAAACCTTGAAAATCATAAGCATAACACTCAACTTTTATGTGTGAAAAAAATATCAAAATGGCTTGGGGCAATCTCGATCCCTTCATGGCTCCACCTTTATACACAGAACAGTACAAATGATGTTATCGCAATTAAATATTGACGTAATGATACTAACTATAAACATTATATCAATAATCTATACTAAATATCAACACCATAATACCAAATACGGATACCATATCAACAATATCCCAAATATCATCAATTTTGCCGATGAAAAACAAGTAGAAGATGGAGAAAGAGAGCACATAACACAACAACATCCATATTAGATCTTAATCTTGGTGATAGCATTCACCATTGAAACCACCACTACCATCTTCATCAATTTCCATCTTCTCCTCCACCTTATCTGAACTCCATCTTCATGAATGAAGCATTGCCACCATTGCCACCATCATGGAATACATTGCAACCACTGTTGATGCACAAAATCAGCGAGGACTTTGGTACAACAGAAAGTGTCAGGTTTTGTGACCTTCGCTTGGTTGTTTGGTTGCTTCAGTCACTAGTGAGGATAAGTACGTAAATGAATAGAGACAGAGAAGCAAACACAGGATGTACGTGGTTCACCCAGATTGGCTACGTCCACGGAGTAGAGGAGTTCTTATTAGTAGTGAAGGGCTTACACAAGTACAAAGGATCAAGCTCTCAATTTAGTGAGTTCTTGTGAATGATTTAACACAAAATGGCCTTAGGCCATATTGTGGGGGAATGACCCCTATTTATAGAAAAACTTGTAGCTTTGTCACATTGACATGTGTCATGTTATGATTGGTTCTTGATGTTGACACGTGCTGCGCTCTGATTGGCTTCTAATCTTGACACGTGTCGAGTAGTGATTGGCCTCCTGGTCGGAGGGGAACTCTTCTGGGTCCTTGACAGTATAGCGTTGGCCGGTGCTCGGTAGTTTCGGGATTGGTCAAGTATGGTATAAACAGTGCTCCCCTAAGTTCCCGAGTGAGGGAAACTCCTCGGTTGGGGACTTGCAAGATCCAATCCCTTGAGTAATCACGAAACTTCTAAGTACCGAAGTGTGGTCTGATCTTCATCCGCCCTTCTCTGGAAGTACTTTTCCTCCATCCGGGAATGGTGTATTTAGCTGATGTTGACGCACAAGGTAATGTATCAATTTCACTTGAAGCTTAGTTGTAGTTTCGGGCTTAGTCAAGTGTGATACAAACCCTATAGTAGGAGTCCCCCAAGTCGCCGAGCTAGGAGATCTGCCGAAAGAGGTGACAGACAAGGTAAGCAGTCAAACTTCCAAGTAAGCAACCCAGGATCAGAGGTTTGACTTCGGCTTCCGGTTGATTGTTCTCATTCTCCTTGTCTCTCATTCAACTACCAGGATAAGGAGAAGCAAATGGATAAGAAATGATATGAGATACTTTTGCTTTTGAAGAAGTAGCTTTCCACAGGCTTATTCTTGAACTGTGCTGGAGGGTTTTCTGGTGCCCTTCAGAGTATAAGGCCGACTCAAAAATTTGAGGGTCAAAACAAGTCCATCAAATCTAGAGTATGTTCGACCTTGATGATATGGGATACTTTTGCTGTTGACGGAATAATGAATGTGGTATGGAAAGGTGTCGTGCTGTAGTGATCTGTTTCAGCTCACCGTTGAACCTTCTGCTTCAATCTTTTGCATGGCAGAAGTGGTGTGCAACCTTTGCATTTAAATGGTCCTTCAGAACATTCCTTCATAGTGACCCATCCACGCTTGGCAGCTTCAGTGTAAAGAGCCAATATCTGATCAACTGTCATGAGGTATTTGCCGGTGGAATTCGTGACCTTGACAGCAGTTGAGGATGAGTACTCGAGAGCAATGCTAAGTAAGCAACCAGGCAAAGGCTCCAGGCAGTCAGTTCCAAATTGGAGGTTTGATTTCAGGTTCCGACTGACTGCTCTCTTTCTCCTTGTCCTGCAGGTGTGGACAAGGACAAAGACAAAGATAGGGAGAAAGCATGATATATGGGATACTCTTGCTTTCGACCCTGATGATATGAGATACTCTTGTTCTTGGTGTGGCTTATTTGCTGAGGTATTATCGGGGGGAAATAAAGCTGAGTATTTCGAGAGGTTATGTTGAGGGTGCCTTTTCGAATGCGAGAAAGGGTTGAGCATTTTTGCAGGTTTGCCTGTCCGTTGAGGAGGGAGGTCAATGTATATAGGGATTTCCCAATAACAAGTAGTAATGCTATTCCTTTACCCTTCTTGGTCACAGCAATGTAGTGGGAGCTGCCAGCTTCACGTGTTTTTAATTTTGTCAGAGCACTTTGAAAAAGTGGTATGTGGTATCTGGAAAGCTGATGTTACGTGTGAAGATTACAGACAAGCTTTATCTAAGGAAATCTGGCTCTCGAAGTTCTGAGAGTTGTGCCTCTTCGGTTTTCGAACAAGCAATCCCGTCGAGGATCTGACTCTCGAGATTCGGAAAGCGGTGCTACTCCGGTTTTTTAGAAAGTAATTATGTTGAGAGTCTTTTCTCGAATGTGAGTAAAGGTTGGACGTTCTTGCCAACCTGTCTTGCCGCAAAACCCGGAGGTCGACACACATAGGGACTTTCCAGTTGTCAAGCAGTGGTGCTGTTTCCTTTACCCTTATGGGTAATAGTAGGGTAGCTGGAACTTCGAAATTCTCGTGCCTAAACTTTGTCAGAGATCTTTGACAAAGTTATATGTGGTACCCGAGGAGTTGATGGTGCATATGGAGAGCGGTGATTGAACAGTAAGATTCACGTGCTTTCTACTTCACCAGAAATCTTCGACAGATTGCCCGTAATTTCCGCAAAGCTGAGTGTGCATGTGACAGGTGCTGACGAGGCTGAAAAAGCAGGTGCTTCTTCGATTTCTGAGATCGGCCCTCGTGGTCTCTGAGCAGCCCAGCTTTTGAGAAAGCAAACGCCTCTTCGATTTCTGAGATCGGCCCTCGTGGTCTCTGAGCAGCCCAGCTTTTGAGAAAGCAAACGCCTCTTCGATTTCTGAGATCGGCCCTCGTGGTCTCTGAGCAGCCCAGCTTTTGAGAAAGCAAACGCCTCTTCGATTTCTGAAGCTCCGTCGAGTGCAGATTTTTATAGAGGCTGGCATTAAGTTCCACAGCACACTTGAATCTCTACTAGTAGAAGCTCATTTCTTGCACTTCTAAGATCTTGATTTGTCTGACCTCTTCCTTCTTCAACACATTTGAAAATGTCTGGACCCTCCGACCGTCGTTTTGACTTGAACCTTGGAGAAGAGACAGCCACGCCTTCTCCAGACAACATATGGCGCCCATCCTTCATATCCCCTACTGGTCCTCTTACCGTTGGGGATTCTGTGATGAAGAATGATATGACCGCTGCAGTGGTGGCCAGGAACCTTCTCACTCCCAAAGATAATAGACTACTTTCCAAACGGTCTGATGAGTTGGCTGTTAAGGACTCTCTGGCTCTTAGTGTTCAGTGTGCAGGTTCTGTGTCTAATATGGCCCAACGTCTATTTGCTAGAACCCGCCAAGTTGAATCATTGGCTGCTGAAGTGATGAGTCTC